CCAAGTCCATCTATTTTTTAATTTTTTCTTGAAATATGTACTACTTATTTTAAATTGATTCTCGAAGCAAAACTGAATCAATAACTCACCCCGTTCCTTTCTGTCACCAAATCCCCATGGTCCCATACTACTTTTGTCTTCAGGCGTTGGTTGTCCAATTTTGGCATTAAAATCATATACGTGTCAACTGAAGTAGAGATGGGCAGGACATGTGGCAAGAGTCAGTTGAGGGCGTCAAGATGGGAGATGGACTGAACGGGTACTTTATTAGTACCCGCGTAATGCGACGCGCTCGCGCAGCCGACCGCAGGCACGCTGGTTCGACGACATTATAGGTGGCAGGAGCAACGTGGACGAGGCTAGCGGTAGACAGAATTTCACGGAAAAGGATGGAGGAGGACTTCACCCGGAAATGGGTATCCCATAATTAATTAAAATTAATATAATAAATTATGATACTATTTTATGTGTATAGCCAAATTCTGTAGATTATTACTAACTTCAATTTTATTATTTTTAACTATATATTTTGTGACAAAAACCAAATTAGTTGACAATTACTTAAAAATATAAATATAAATTGATTATTTACCCTAACATTATTTATAAATAATCAAAAATTAATTTTGTAAATTTAATTTAAACTTCTTATTTAAAATTGACACTGGCATTAACATGTCATTTAATTTAAAAAAATTGCATGACCCATAATAATATTGTATTTGGTTTTAACTAATATCGAATGCTGTATGAAAATTGGGAATTAAATGGCTATTATTTGGGTATTATATAGTTTTCATTTTCATTATCATTTCATAAATAAATAAAAACCGAAACCAGATGGAAGCCCTCGGCAGGGGAGACCAAACGGCCGAGGGTTAGGGTAAAAGAGAAAGAAACCGGCGGACGATGCGGGCGGTATCGAGGAGCACCGCCTTCTGCATTTGAGCCCGGAGCGGTCCATCATGGAGTCCCAGTCGCCTCAGATAACACGAGAGGCTGACTGGGATTAGCCCATTCGCAGAGAGAACAACAGGAATAATTTCAGTCAGCAGACCACCCCACATGTCGGTCACCTCGTGAGCCAGGTCCAGATATTTTGTTCGTTTATCTGCTTCGGCTTTCAAGAGGTTCTCGTCATACGGAATGGTAATGTCGATCAAAAATATTCTTGACTGTGCCCGGTCCATCAGCACAATATCAGGCTTATTCGCAAGAATAGTCCTGTCCGTGATGATGGCCCGGTCCCAGTAGAGCCTGGCGGAGTCATTTTCGAGCACGGCTTCCGGCAAGTACTTGTAATACGGCAATTTCCGGTCCACGAGGCCGTATTTCAGAGCGAGCTCCTGGTTTAGAATTCTGACTACTAGGTTGTGCCTGTGCAAGTATTAAGAGTTAGAAAGCACCGAATAACCAGAGATGACATGCCTAAGTGACTCCCTGGGATGGCGACAAGCTCGACAGATGTTGACAGTGCCATCCTTTAGGATGTATCTCCGATAGTTGTTGGTCTTAATAACCTGATGCTGTATTGCACAGACAAAACCCTCGGTTTCCCCGATGAGGTCACCGAAATATAGCCAGTTAAGGGGAGGCGGCTGTATCCACATGGGGCTCATGTAGAGCCCTGTAGTACCTCCCGTTGAGCTTCTTCTCCTTCCATACGGTCTCCCGGTCGGAAATACTCTGTACTGCCGGGTCTTGCCATTGCTTGTTGGCTAAGAATGGAGGGTAAGTCCTTTATCACAAAAAATGACCTCCTTATAGAATGCATCATCCGATCTCGCCAAGAAGTAATGACGGAGGTTGCACACTTTGCGATTATGCATGGTGAGCGCGCTCTGAAAGCCATGCCCACCATGCTTTCGCAGCAAGTACAGCCTCATTACCGACGATCTCGGATGATGCATCCTATGGGACGTCATGATAGTGCAAACTTTTCTATCCAGGGCGTTAAGTTCAGTCTGAGTCCACCTGAGTATGCCAAAGGTTTACATGAGGATAGGCATGACCCAGCCGTTATATGCGTGTGTCTTATTCACACCGGACAAAAGGCTGTTAAGCACTTTGGTCAAGCGTGCATAAAACACGTCGCAAACTGAGTGTTTCATACCAGCCTCATCGATACCGATGTTCTGTGACATACCCAGGTATCGGTATGTTTCAGCCTCGAAAAGGGTCCTTAAGAAGAGTGCCACAGGGTTCCATTCTAGGCCCTATTCTTTTTAACTTATATTGTGCGGACTTACCAAAAAATATTCTAAAATGTCAGTATCATATGTATGCAGACGACATACAACTTCACATCTCGTTCAAACCCAGTCAATGGGAAACAGCAGTTAAGGATCTATATGACGATTTTAAACGTGTCACTGTGTGGTCTGAGCATAACTGTTTACTATTAAACCCTGATAAAAATAATTATATGATGTTTGGACAAAGAATCAATTAAATAAATTACCGGAAGATTTAGGCATTATAATGAAGGTAAAGAAAGTAAAAAGGGTAAACATAGCACGGATCTTATGTTTAAAGCTTGATGAGGGCTTACGGTTTGATGAACATGTTGCCGAAGCTGTCAAAAATTGCTTCTACCGGCTCAATGTTATATAAAATTAGGCCGTATTTGTCGGAGGAATTGCATGTACAGCTGGTGGAGACGTTAGTCTTATCCAAGCTTAATTATGCTGATGGTGTGTACGGTCCACGACTACTGGCCAGAACGGAGCGGCTTGTACAGCGCGTTCAAAACGCTTGCGCCCGTTTTTGTTTCACAGTTCCTTTTCGGGGGCACGTCACTCCGTTTTTTTAATGATCACGCAATGCCTAAAATGAAGTCGAGACAGAAATTGCATCTGGCATGCTTGCTTTTTGGCGTCATAAAACATCAAGAACCATCTTACTTGTATAATAAACTTGGCTGGGTTGCTACAAGGAGGCAATGTGATAGAAGACAGTGCTCGCAGCAACTTTCGGTACAAAAGCACAAATCGGCATCTTTCAAGGGAGCATTTCGCTATGCAGCCTCGAAAATATGGAATAACATACCACCACCTCTAAGGCAGCTAAGCTCTATAACTACCTTTAAAAGTCACCTAAAACAGTACTTGTTAAAGGCACAAAAACACCTAGGCATGGTTAACACTAATGCTAACATGTCCTATATCTGATGTTTATTTGAGAGGTACATTTTATGTTCTATATTTTATTTTAATTTATTTTATTTTTTTATTTTTTTGCTGATGTTATTACTTTGTTACAGTTTCACCCGCAGTATCTTGCTAATAATAAAGTATTTAATTAGTATCCTGTCATATATTATATACATGTTTTATTAATAGTTTATTATATAAGTAATTATATATGTTTTTTTCATAGAGTTCACGTATACTGATTTTTCTTACGGAAGTACATGGCAACTGGTTCTAGAGGTGAAGACGAATGCAATTTAGGGGGCCAATAGAAAATCAGCGTTAGGTTTCCAACCTGACATCATACTGAATAGGTTCCTATCTTTTGGCATCACCCTGAGGCACTAGTTTTAAGAATATATATTATGTATAATTTTTTTTCCTAATTTTAACAGGCTGTTTGGTTGTTCATAAATTGTAACTTTTTTTGGTTTTGATTGTTTCTGTGTTCTGGTGCCTTGTGTGTGTCAAAAATAAATATTTTTAAGCTATTGCATAGCTTCTATCGCGGGCCTTGAGCGCGAGGACCGAATCCAGAAATTCCGTAACGAAAAAAACTGTGGCGTTGAAAGCCGTGCATCGTCTAACGTCGTTTCAGTTCGGCTGACTTCGGCACTCTATTGCGACTAGAGTTTGACTCGGTGCGACTAGAGGTATGCGTGTACACTAGCTGCTCACTCAATGATAAAAATTCCTGAATAACCTACATGTATTGTAAGATATTAAAAATATTTTAAACAATATTAACTTCTCATTTATTCAATAAGAGAAAAAAATTGTTTTCTTATCGGTCACTACGCTCAAAAAGTGTAACTTGATTTAATATCAAAGACTTAACTGCATAAATAAAATAAATAATTATAATTGCATAAGTTGATAAAAAATTCTATGCAATAGCTTTACCGTTGCAGTCACCGAGTGCCACAAGTATTTTTTTTTTCTTTCTTTCCTTCTTTTCTTTCCTTAAGTTGACGGGCATAGTTAAGTCCATGCCCTCAGATTTAGCAACCCTTCCCCCTTCAACATGGAGGACCGCACACTTATCCGTCCCCACTCATCTAATAGAATTGCTAAATTCACAAGTGATGTTTAGCAATTCATGGGAGCGACTGGAGGCGAATAATTTGAGGTCATCCATCTAGAAAAAGATGGTTCACTTTTGTACTTCCTTTCTGAAGCTGAAAATCTCTCCCGGAGCCCTCTAGTAAGGTACTGAGAGGGTTCAAAGAGAGGCAGACCCAGATTGGACTCAGACAGTCGCCCTGGAATATACCCCTCCTTATCCTTATGCGGCTTTCCGCAGCCGTCATCCGCTCACCTAGATGACAGAGTATCGTAATCCACTGCCCCATACACTCCTCGAGGAAGTCTCGAACTGTACAGTCAATCTTGTACAGCTCGAGGACAGCAGCTCTTTAGCCATGTATGGGGCACCGAGTCAAATGCCTTTCTGTAATCTATCCAGGCGGCGGAGAAGTTCCGACGGTTGCGTTTCACCACTTTGCCAATGATCGGTAGAAGTGGTTCCTTGGTTCCACGACCGCCGCCCCGACATGCATTTTGAGCGCGCGACATCACCTGATTTGAGTCCAGGTGACGAGTGATTCTCGCGCTCAAAATGGATGTTAGTGTCTTTTATATGGTCGGTAGACACGTGATGGGGCGGTATTTGCTCGGGTCTGTGGCACCCTGATCTTTAGGAACCAAATGAGTGATCCCAGTAGTGAAGAGGCTCGGGAGCGACTTCTGGTTGAGAGCCTCTTGGAACTGTCGGACGAGCATAGATTGACACACCAAAAACCCCATCAGTCAGTAGTGATGCAGCCCGTCAAGCCCCGGACTTTTCCAGTACGGGGCCCTACGGACCGCCTCAGCTACGTCATCCGGCGTTATGATGACGGGGTCCATGGGCGTAATACCCGCACATTGACTCTCCACAACTTTCGTCCAAGAGTCCTCGCTGTGGTTTACGGGCTCTGACCACAGGTCGCGCCAGAATATTACAGTGTCGGCCTGATTCAGTGCTGGGCCCCTTCCACTTGCCATTGGTCGCTCCAATGATTCATAGAACATCTTTTGATCACTCTGCATGAGACGATTCTGGTTGAACCGAGTCGACCTCTCGGTATATTGCCGAATCCGCTTTCCCCTAGCAGCGATTCTCTGCTTCAGATCATCTATGCGCTCCGTTAGTTTTTGCATTATATCCGGCTGGGACAAACTGACATTTGTCCCAGAAAATGCCATCCTGACGGTGCGCACAATTTTTGGTCTGTTATTGCTTGATCTGAAGTATATCAGTCTGCCGATGAGAGCTCTAGCCTTTGCGATACGCTCCTCAATTCTTTTTCTCTATGCTGGAATAACGCTGCTTTGGCCAGTAGCGTGTCCAGCCGTGGAAACCTTGGCGCCTATGATACGGCAGACTGCCAGCGTGGCGCCAAAAAGAATTGAGTCCGTATCGCAAAGGTACCGGCTGGCTTCCAAATAGGTCACCAGCATTGGGTTCAGAGCCCTCACGACAGCCTGATTCCGCCTTCTTAGGGCTATGCGGGGAAGTCGCGGTCGATTTTCAAGAGGCGTATTGCGCGTTTCCATAATCGCCTCTTCCAATGTAATCCTCATTTCTAGTTCCTGGGCGAATGTTCCATCATCATTTGAATTAGCCACCACTGGGGTATTTACGGCGGTATCCACGTGTGCGGGTTGTTCTGCAACTTGTCTTGTCTTGTCATTTGGTGAGGGAACAGCCTCACGTCGTAGCTGTTTGAGTTCGGCGTTATTATTATTATTATTATCGATACTCTTCAAACATTTCTGCACTCTGTACACAAAACTGCTTACATATTATCTAGTTATAATAATAAAAAGAGTATTGTGCGTATAACTTTATACTGTTAATATTTTATATAAATAAATATTATCAAATGCAAAAATCCATTTTATTCTTTATCTGCCTTTAAAAGTTTACTGCTATATTGGCCTCTTCCGTTGTAAGGTGAATTTGCCTAAATTCATACGCTGGGCAGTGGATTAAATGGTTTTTCATACACGGGCACACGGCAGCGGCACGGTAGCGGTACATCGCCGGCACGGCGGCCATTCGTTATATCTTTAACATTTATGTCAAATATGTCAAATAAATTCATACTATCTTAAAAGTTGTATTGTAAATTAATTACGCTTATCACAATGTTAAAAGAAACGCAGGAAAAAATATTTTTTAATATTTCTTAAGGCTAATTCTACGTCAAGCGTAAACGTATTACCATATTTTGAACGCATCTCAACTACCAACAACAACCTTTTTTTAGGACGTTCCATTTCACACATTTACTTTACTCAACGTTGTTTCTGAGTTTTATACATTATTTTATGTTTCATTTAATTAGTAAGCATTTTTTATTAGTCTTTGTATAGTACAGATTATTTAAAAATAATAAAATATTTCTTTATTAACTATCTGGTAACGTCATACCTAACCTAAAAAGTGACTTTAATATTGTTTAGGCTTTGTAGCGTTTAAATCGCAAAATGGCTATATGACATTATTTTCTAAACTTACATGTAGTTTTTCTACTATACCTTATACGAAAACTTTCACTATCAGGTTCTTATATGTATGGAAAGTACTTTTTGTTCCAAAGATTCCATTTTCTAATTTTTGTACACCTATATATAGCTCACTAAACATATCGTACTGAGTATTTCATATTTAGTAAAAACCTATAAGGGGTGATTATACTACCGTCTACCAAAGACCAGGTTTGTGAAAAGTTTGTAGTCACAAGTTTGGTAGAAGGCGCAGTCCTAAGTTGCTTTTTACGACACTCAAGAATAAAATAGAGTAAAAGATCCCATTTCCTGTATGCATGGAAAAATAATGTAACTTTTTGTTTTATAATATGTCTTTAAATAAAATTCTCACGACATTAACCTGATATTATGTGATAGTCCGTATTAAATCACTTACCACGCAAGTTTTCTTACAAGTCCTAGACGAAGGCAATTGATTAAACACAAATTATTTGTCATCAACAAGGACGCACAAACGCTTTAGTATTTGCACGTACATTAGCAACAATATTTAATAAATCCTTCACATTTGAAAACTGCGATAAGTTAAGGATTCTTTCTCGTTAATCCATATACGCAGATTCTATAGCCTTTTAAAATTGTAAACTACGGAGATGATAATAATTAGTAATAATGAATAAAGGAGACGGGCGAAAGTTCATAGAAAGCTGGGCCTAATGTTACAGCAACGATTACTGCATTATTTTATTTATATACTAATACCATTTAAAAAAAAAAAAAACTAAAATGTTTACGACTGCTTCATGGTAGACAAAAATATAGGATGTTATTGGTTTGTATGAAAACAATGTTGTTGCTTATGTTATGCATACGATGTTTTTCTTAAACCAAGCTTACATTACAATAATTGTAATGTCAATGTGTACTTAATTCAAAAAATAATTATAAGACTTTAATGGAAACTAGATTTTACCATTATTTATTGTAGGATATTCACACATAGAGGATTTAGACGTCATAAATTCTAGAAGTTTGAAATAATTATAAAAAATCAGAGTGCGTATGAATTAAAAACCCTTTCTATTTTAATGACTTATTAATCGTCCACTTCATCATAAACAATTAAAATATCATCTAGAAACGGAATCTTATACGAAGCTGAGAAAAGTCGAGTAGGCAAGATAACTAAGTCAGTTGTAAGAAATGCGTGGGTCGTTCGTCAAAATAATAACCATCAGAAATCGGAATCCTTAATACGTAGCCAGAATCGTTAAAGATCGCAATTTTATTACAACACACGAAAACAACACAAAATATTCACTACCGCCACAAGCTCAGAGCCAAAAGAACGAAATAAGTAGTGATTTGATTGACGTTTGAGTTTTTTAACTAACGTTGACATGAGTTCCGCTTTGTGGCCTGTATAAACATTGATAATCGACTGTGAAATCGATTTATTAATCTATTCTGTCATTTATTTCAAGACTTTGAAACGTTGAAGTTTCACGAGGAAATCAATATTTAAATAATAAGTTTTTTAATCTTATCTAAAAAATAAAACACTGAATTACTTTTTATTGTCTTTTTTTTCTATGTTTGTATTAAAATCGATTAACTAACCTATATCATCTGGCAGCATTGTCTAAAAATGAAAATAAAGGAAGTCAGTATTATTTTTATTAAATATTTAATTTCTTATGCCATGATAAATCTCCTTAATATTTCATTATTAACTACAAAAAAAATGAAAATAAATATTGATAAATATTTCACTTGTGTAACGTTAGACCCAAATTCGCCCGTCTCCTTTATCACTTCCGTAATTATCAAAAGTATTTTTATACCATAATATAAAATATTATAATTGCCAATGTTTTATGCCTTTTTAATGCAATAATGAAATAAAAAGAGTATATACCTTAATAAAAAGAGGTCTAAAACGTGTTTGGGAGTGTCGCAAATTATTTGGCTTTACAAATTTGCAAAAGAATTCTTCCATCCTACTTAATCCTCAGCATCTCATCTTCCTTTGCTTAAAGGACCCACTCGTCCTTTAAAAATTTCAGAGGATCGCCCGCCTCTCTTCAGTGGAATATAATTAAGTAACATCTTGAAAAGAAATTTAAAAGTGATAAGTTCAGACATTTAATTAAGAACCCAAGTATCAATATGAAAGCTATGTATATATTTTAGCAAAAAAATATAAAAAGCTCAAAATCTTTCTTTCATCTTTCAATAATTAATCTACTCTACTAACTATGAATAAAATTCTAATACAACTATAAATTTTAATAAAAATAAATTTGTCCACCGCCACATTCAAAAACTTAATTTTTTATTAAACAAATATGGTAGTAAAGTAATTTATAGATGATAATGAACCATAATCTTTGCTTTGATCAGGATTGTTGGGAGCACTATGCTCGAAATTGTTGACGAGTACGTTTACCTGGGACAAATAGTCTGACTAGGTAAGTCCAACTTCGACCGAGAGGTCTGTCGACGGATTCAATTCGGCTGGGCAGCGTTCGGGTAATTACGACACATATTCTGGTCAGGTATACCTCAAACTCTGAAAATTTGATTGTACAACCAGTGCGTATTGCCAGTGATGACTAACGGATCTGAGACGTGGTCCTTCACTCAGCGAGCTATGGAGAGGGCTATGCTCGGAGTTTCTCTGGGTGATAAATTCAGAAATGAGCATATCCGCAGTAGAACCAAAGTGACCGACATAGGCCAACGGATTAGTAAGCTGAAGTGGCAATGGTCTGGTCATATAGCTCGAAGAACCGACAACCAATGGGGAAGAAAGGCGTAGTGTAGGGCGACCCCCCACTAGATGGAGTGACGACCTAGTAAGGCGTGCAGGAAGTCGATGGATGCAGGGGGCTCAGGACCGTGCTTTGTGGGATAACTTGGAGGAGGCCTGTGTTCAGCAATGGACTAGTTATGGGATGTAATGATGATGATGATGAATGAAAAATGAGGTAATTAATAACACGCTCTTACTAATATGATATTTATGTATAGTTAATTGAACAACTTAATTTTAAGAATTTTAACTTTTTTAATACTTTACAGCACCCATGGATACGGGGGGGGGGGGACTGGGGGACTGGGGTATTTGACGTCCTCATGTTATAGTCAACGAAAGCTAAAAGTCTTGCAGTAGTATGCTTGGGTTTGAATTTAATTTTAATAATTATGTGATCCCAAGCAGATGATAGCACCCAGACATGCTCTCTATTGAAATTAGGATGTTTTTTTTTTCTTTTATTTTATTAGCCTCACAAATCATCTTTGGTAAGAATCGCCGTCCTTTTACGAAGATTTATGCTATACTAGATCTGATATAATGGTTGGGATGATACGGAACATGTTGACATACTTCAGACTTCCTGGAGCGTCGGTGCTTCACATCAGCAATTTGTTATATATGCGTAAAGAAAACCCACATAAAAATGAAACGCGACAAAACGTGTGAATTTAATTTTATTCCATGTGTAGTATTCACGTATACATTTATTTTATAATGCCAATCAATATTTAATGGGACAAATAATATGAATCGAATATCGCAAATAAACATCATACCGTAAATTAATAGATGACAGTGAAATTCGTCATTGTTAAGTTATAACAAAATTAACTTTAATTATGAAAGAATATAAATTATAAAATGAAAATGATGCAATTTTGATTCCAGGACAATTTGGTAATTGATAATAATATTTTTCTTTAATTGATAATTATATCCTTTCTTATGGATACATCGGAAGACACACCTGATATAAAAAGTCGGTTTTTAAGGACACAATTACTAAAAACTTATTTATTCACGTGTTCCTATATTATAATAAATCTCAACAAAATATCAATCATATATATAGTCTAATAGCCTTTGAATCTGTGAATTCGAAAAATTCTTTGCTGAAAAAAGAAGAGTAAAGAGTAATTGAGCAAGTGGATGAGTTCGTATATTTGGGATGTGTATTCAGCAGAGATGGGAGATATGATAAGGATATTGAACGACGAGTGAATGCAGGAAATAAAGTAAATGGGGCCCTACACTCTATTGTGAAAAGTCAGAATGTGTCAAAAAAGGCACGTATGGAAATTCACAATGCTCTATTAGTCCCTACTTTAACATATGGTAATGAAAGTTGGGTGTGGCAGAAGAAGCACGAGAATAGAATAAATGCAATAGAAATGTCGCTAAGGAGTATGTTAGGGCTGAATCTGTGTGACAGGGTGAGAAACTGTGTGATAAA